ATTTCAAGAAATCAAAAGTACCAGAGGAGGAAGCAATGGATTGTAATGGGATTTTCCTTCACATGTGAACAGCTGAGGAAACATCAGCCAGCCAGTCTTTACCTATAGAGCACTTTTCATTCACAATGAGGTAAATGCAAAGAGATTAAATGAAATCATATCATGTTATAAGGCGTGAACTTGGTTTTGAGATTTTTGAACATAATTAATAATTTTACAAAAATGAAACAAAAAATACACACCTTTACACAAATAGAGCTGGGTAACTAAAATTAAAGTAACCAAAGAACCCCAAGCAGATTCAATTTCTTGCATAGAAAAAAAAAACATATGGGAAAATATCTTTTCCTATTTTGGTGTGCTGTGTAAGATTACATTAGCCGTTCCTGGCTGCTCATCAGGAAGCTATGTTAACAAGAAGAGCTTCAAGTTGCACTAGTTTGGCTCAAAGTTGTTTATGTGCCTCTAAAACATGAGGGCAAAAAAAAAAAAAAAAAAAAGTTGATGTAATCACGTAAATTACAACTAAGCAGTTTATAAGACATGAAAGACATTTTAGGCAACAAGTTTCCCAAAGATAAAAATAAAACTATCCTAACCACATGCTTTAAAGGAAGGATTTTCATTTCATAAGGAATGCCAGACTTGTGATATCATGGTATGTTAAAGAAAGAAAAAGAGATATTTGTTCTGGCTTGTCTTTAGTCTAGAGATTTTAGGAGTGAATAAAAGCATATTGAAAAATGAATTATTGTTTATCATTGCTGTTTGAATAGAGTTTACCTGGCAGAACACGATTTACCAAGCATGCACAGAAAACACATCAGATCATATGAATCGTGCCAGTCTTGGTATTGAATCCCTCTGTTTGTATGAACACCTGTTTGCAAGATGCCCAATTCAGCTTCCAGCATTTTGGATTATTATTGATAATCTCTTGTGCATTTTGCCAAGGGCAGAAGTCCGCTTTTAGTCCCGGTTCACTCTAAAACTAGGTCATGTCTTTAATCTCTGCATGCAGAACACACTGTAGGTTAGCAGCCTTTTATGTTCATAAGTCCCAGAGTGCTAAAGCAGAGTGAATACACAGTTTTAAATCATACAAAATCCTAAAAGATATGACAAACCACTTCGGGACAAGTCATCATCAACTCAGATGAACTGAGACGATTATTAGCAGCTGCCCAATGAAGAGCTAATATGATCCAAGTCCATTGCACTCACTCTTGTAGTATTTTATCTGCTTAGACCATGTTTTTTTTTTTTTACAGATGTGTACTTTTATCTCTAGAATCTCAGCAAATAGTGTAGCAGCATGGTGATTTACACAAATGAACAGATACAATCCAATTGCAACAGGTTTAAACTGTTGTTTCGTTTTGCCAAATAAAGATGCAGTAAAAAATATTTTCTCAGTTTTTTCTCACGCTCACATAATTGAGATCGTTTCTAAATGTCTGATGGGACAAAAACAACCTGATCAACACGAGCCACAGCTTTTGAATGATAACTTCAGTTATTAATAGAAACCGCTATGCAGCTCAATGTGGCTCCTATGGGAAAAAGCAATTATTCAATCATAAATTTGACTGTAATCAATCAGTTCAATTTCACAACACCCAATGGGGAGACCTGTAATCTCATGAAATCACTTGAATGAAACCCACCTAAAAATATTAAGTGGGTAAACGATCTCAAAAAGGAACACGTTAATGCCACAATTCAAGGATATTAGAAAACATAAAATAAAGTTATTAACATTCAGTCATTTATTTTGAAAGCTTTGGGACTGCAGTTAGCCACAGTATGAACCATTATCTACAAATGAAGAAAACAATGAAATAAGTAAGAAGCCCACCGAAGTTACTCCGTTACTTTTTGTAGAGGTTACAGAGTAACCTACCTGAAGCAGAGTAGGCCTCAATTAAGATTAGTTTTCTTGATTCAAAACAAAGAAAGTGAGTGAGCATTAATACCATAAATGGCTTCCAAACCCATTACTGACTGAAAAGGACACAAAAGTCTTCTCACATTTTCCAAAAGTCATCTCCATATATATTGGAGGAAATATTCTGCAAAATAATATTTCAGAAAATTAACAACAGGCTGACAAAAATCAGCCCAGGAGGAATAAGTTGAACAGCTAAATTATCACCGGGGTCGGATTCGTGCCATGGCAAAACGTTTTCCCGCTAGTTCCAGACAGGAACTTCCCTGTACACAAATTGCAAAAACATGCACCCGATTGCGGGAGTTCTCAGCACTAGCTCCCATCACTACCCATCTCTATCCAATTTGTTAATTTGTTCTTCATGTCTTCTTCAACATAGTGTCACACTTAAATTTTCCCATTTGAAAAAGTAGTATAATATGCTAGTTCATAGGAGAGAGGTAAAAATATTGGTGAATGAATTGGAATAATTACTAAGGTACATTGCATTGCTTGCAGATATTCAAATTCAAGTTGTGATTGAGTTACGCTGCTGCCCCCTAGTGACAAAATTGTGGCAATCCACTGTAGTAAAAGTTCAAATACTTTTTTCTGTCACACAACGACCAAGTGATGATTTAAGATATGAGTATTTTTGAAGCCGTATTGTGTTGTAAAAATATCAGTGCAAACCTAGAGTGGGATTGTGGTGACAGTGTGTTGGCATATCACTTCTGAAGGGATGTAAAAGAGATAGTTTTCTTGTATTTTAAGACATCTTTAAATGTACTGGCACTAACAAAAATATTTTTTATGAGACAAAAACCAGAGCAAAGAGGGAGATGATAGCTTAAATACTTTTTTTTCTTTCAAATTTATAAGTTTACTTCGATTTCTTATGGATTTGGTCCAAATTTGTTTTAAACTGTGTGACTTGTTTTAGGTATCCTTCCACGAGTTTCTCTCATTAGTTTTATGGAATGTTCCTCCTGACTAACCTTGATTACACAGCTCTTCAGTTCTTCAGTTTATGCCTCAACCTCATCATGCAATTACAAAAAAAGGCATAAAAACAGGTATAGTGTAATTGGTATAGTGTTTTTATCCATATTGGTCATGATAGTGAAATGTCACAACCCTTGTCTACATTTATTATCTTCCAAGAAAACTCCAGTGAGTATTGCATTGTCATTCCAGGCAAAACTACAATAAGATTAGTGGGATTTAACCAAGACAAGACAAGATGGTACGCCATGGGTAGGCTGACATCACCCTGAGCAACGAAACCACAAGGAATGCATTGCTGATTTAAAAAAAAACAAAAAAAAAACAGATTATCTAAATTGTTGAGCCTGGAAAGACCATCGCTGTGAAATAGTGGGCCACATCTTTGCCCTTGTGTAATTCCTGAAGATGTTGGACGCAGTGAAGTGAAAACGCTTCTCCAGTTTATATGTGGTTTGTGGATCTGGAGAGGACTTACACCTGTGTCCTTTGGCGTGGGGGGGTATTGTGGGAGTGTGGGGTATCTTAGTGGCTTTTAAGAAGGATACCTGAATGCCAAACACAAGAATTTTGTGGGCTGCTGCTCCGACTCTGTATGAGAAGGAGTAAGTTGAGTTAATTGGGCACCTAATCAGGATCCATTCAGGGTCTCCCTTTGGCAGTTTTCTGGGCATGTCCCATTAGAAAGGGGTCATGAGAAAGACCCACAACTTGCTGGAGGGGCAACAAATATCACCTTAGCGCACTTTACAAAAAGAGTAAATCCAATCATACAGATATATTCAAAAGCAATTGCATACATCAGTTTATATATAGTCTATAAATGGATAAAATAAAGTTTTCTATTCAAGGAAAGGGAAAAAGAAGGCAAAAGCTTCCTTTCACTTCACACCTACAAGCAGGTCAGTTAAGAATAACATAATCTTTCCTATTTGCGATGACTCAGAATACTGACTCATCGCTAAGAAGCATAGTTGCTCTACACTCTCTTACGTAGGCATACATCAAAGCCTTCTAGGGTTCAAATAAGGCTCAAGTTGTCTCTGAATAATTTTACTTTACTCTGCTGCCTCCAAGTGGTCCAAGGCTGTTTATGCACTATGAAGGTAATTTCTTGCTAAAGGTATTTCTAATAACAAGCTTGGTAGTTAGTAATCTGTAATCACAGTAATATTGCCGCTTTCAACAGACTGGAGACGTTTGTGCTACATTAAGTAAGTGAAGACTCTGAGTCACTTTCAGGATGTGTGCTTGGCTTATGTTGTGACAATCTATGGAGATATAACATTCCACTTTATAGAAAAACAAATTATCATATCTACTGCCAACAGTCTTATTCACATTCATTCATGTAACAAACAGATCGATTTGATACACTTTAAAGCCATTCCAAACATTATGGTTAATGCCAGTTAAACTAATTGATTAAATCACCCCATTAGCTTATTGCAAGTCCTTGTGATAAACAAAACAACACCTGAAGAGAAATGGACCCCTTTTAAAGAAAGAAACCAACTACAGCACTATTACACAATAGCACTTTGAACTGTTTTGTTGCTGAGATGTGCTTTATGAAAAATTCTTTGTGTGGTTTCGACCTCAAACAACTTAACTATGGTGTCTGTCTGCCTAACTGAAACAGAAACCTAAACACAAAAGAGAAACTTCATAATGCATACCAATTAAGGCAAGTAGCAAATAAAAGCCAGGAGCAAGAAAAGGCTCAGGAACAGGAGTTTACACATCTAAGAGTTGCTATTACAAAACCCTGAAATGTGAGCGGATATCCGAGCAAGACCTGCAAGCCATCCTCAGTAACACCTTCTGTCATAAAGTGGGTCAAAAATATCATCATGCTATTGTGGAAGTAAATGAATAAACAGCCTTGCTTTAACCCTCTATGGTATAATGTTGCCATTTGGCAACAAATCACTCGAAGCCCTTCCCTCCAATTTTACAATGTAGTGCACTGAAAGAGAGATGAGACCCCAAGAGAAGCAATAACAGTATTTAAATTTGTCACGTGATTTTCTGGGGGGAAGTTTGACACCCTTTTCTACAGACCTCTTCACAGGGAGGAACCTCACCATTTGACTCCTCAGAAGTTAGGGGAAAAAAGTATTTTTAACATTTTCTTTGGCCAGGAAAAAAAAAAAAAAAAAAAAAAAAAACATACTCAAGAATAAATTAGGTAAGTTCACTATTCTTTCATCCATTGTGCTGTATTTTATAATTTATCCTTCAATTCGAAACATACCCAAAATTTAGTTCGACAAGACAGTGAAATAAAAGTCACGTGCTTTTATACAGCGTAAGTAAAAATTTGATTTCGGCTCTACGATTCTTTACGTTTAGAAATTAAAATGATTATTTAAATATATTTCTAGACACATAAATGTGCAAGCAAGCTCTCGGAGGCATTGCCGCGTTTTGCCTAATACCTCAGGTGAAAATCAGAGGTATTTTTGGCTTCATCGCTCCACCTTCCTCTCTCTTTATTTGGCCTGGTGGTAGATTCTTGTCGGTGCCGACGCTCTGCATCCGGCAGAGGAGAGCAGCCCGCGTCCCACCAACACATGCAATACAATGAGGCAGTGTGTGCGCCACAGAGAAGACAAAGCTGCAGGATGCGTCGAAGAGACGGGAATTTGCGCAGGACCAGTGACGTGTTACTCGACTGCCGCGGACAGCACTACTGAAGGTTTGTTAAATGCGCTACCTAAAAAAACAGAAAGAGAAAAAAAAAGTCCCGTGTGTGTGTGTGTGTGTGTGTGTGTGTTTTTTCTGACAGGAAATGAATGAGAGAGCTGGTCGAAAATAAAACACGAAGCGCGACAGCCTCGGACAGAAAGCTTGTAATAAAAAATAGTTCGCATATCAAGCGTTTGAGATGTTAAATATTGCTAAAACCTGCATAACTTCTACTTCTTCTGTAGCAGTCATGAGTGGAATGTATACTCGTCTTAATGTACTGAATATAGATCTATGGTTAAGGGAAAGCAGAAGGATAATTTTTTACAACAAACCAGTATTTCACATAGACTAAACTAGATTCAATTTTAATCTTTTTTTTTTTTTTTTTTTTTTTTTTTTTTTTTTTTTTTTTTCAGACAGAACAGTATAAAAAGTAGTCAGTCATCAACCCGCATTTACATAGCGGACGCCCCCTCCCCCTCGACGACTGCATGATATTGAGCAACACAGACGCCACATTCACATGGTGGTTGCTGGTCAATATAGCAGTGCCATAACATCCAAAATGAATCAAGAGGTTTTAAATAAAATCACATTCTTTATTTCATGTGTACAATTTGAAACAGTCACTCAAAGTCTTCAAAAACCCTTTGAACTGAAAGCTTTCAGAAATGATAATTGACAGCAGCTCAGAAGGCAGCCATTGATGCAATTTGTAGAGAGAGAAGAAACAGTAATACGCGTTTCTGCTTGAACAGATACTCAGATGCACTACAGTGACTCGTGTAGAAGTGTCTGCTCAAACGTTTCACCGGCACTCTGATGGCTGAGGTTAACTCATTTAGGGATACTGGATAACAGAGTTAAAGACCTCTCAGCTACTAAGAAACTACTGGAAAATTGTGGGTGTCTTATTAGCTGTCTTGGCAGGACTAAGTCTGTCAATATCTTTTTATACTGCAATAGAAATGATTTACTACAAAGGTTGGACTACTTTTAGATTCAGGGCATAATTTTCCTGTCAGAATATAACATTTCTCAACCGTGGGAACATTATTCAAAACAACTGGTTCTTCAAGATTTGAACAAAATCAACTACCTGCAAGGTTGTTGAGTCATGTCTTTATTACAGCCTGGGTTTAGTCTTTACTTAAAAAAATGTTGGAGATAACTACCTAGACATTTTAGACCATTTTTCACAGAAAGGAAACATAATATAGGTATTCATTGGAACGATGCAATGGATTTGGAGCAAAAGATGCCATTTTGCAGTTATTAAATTCAGCTTATGCATAGTGCACCAATTCACAACAAATCCGATTTCTATGACTTGTTCTTCTATGAAGCATGTTTTCAATTAAATTCTAGAAATACACAGTGAATCAAATGTACACTAATAAAAAAAAAACAATCATATGATTGAAATATGGCACATTGCAGTATCAGATAGTTTAATAAGATTATAAAACCAGTAGTATGTCCCAAATGTTTGTCAGTTAATATAAACATAAACCATAAATGCTTGGATTTCTTAGTGCATTTATTGAATTTAAAAAAAAAGATTTTTTTTTTGTATTTAGTCTGTTAATTACTAATCAAAACAGATCAAGGGAATATAAGACAGTTATGATCTTTGTCCGATTAATCAGCATACCTTCAATATGTTGCAGAATGAATCACTAGTCGCTACATGACGGCCTACAACCAAAACAAGAACTAGACTCTCGAGCTCCAGTTCCAAAACCAGGACTCAAGAATGAGGACTAAGTATGCAGTCATCTTCATCTGCATTGTGGCCCTGGTCATCATCGAAAAAGAAAGCAATATCCTATCAAGGTAAAAAAAAAAAAAAAAAAAACCTACTGCAATTTCATAATTTCAAGAAAAATGGTTGAGTCTAGTAAGATAAAAAATACAATTCCATTTTTACTTCTCCAAAAAGTCATTTTGGGTTTTTACCTTCATTAATAAAAGGCCCATTTCTTCCCCTTCATATCTTTTCCTTTTGACGTTTTGTAACCATCAACTATAGCTTCTCTTGTTTCCACATTATTGGACTGTTTTACGTTGTCTTTAAGCAGATAAAGCTTAAGTTTTCTACATAAATCTAAATGCATCAGGGCCTCTGTGAAATCTGCACATGATGCCATCAGTTAGAAGTGTCATGTGCGTGAGAATTTAATATCCTCCTCAAACCAAGAAACTGTGACTGAAACAGAAAACAGGTGTGCCTTATTTCTCAATCGTCTGAACTGTGGCGGTAAACCACATGTTTGTACACGTACACATCCCTTAGATATCTGCAAGATAGTAATTTTGTCAGAATCCTATTACATTACAACCAGAATATCTACACACAAAGTACAGTAGTGTCAAATGTGCAGATCTCAGTAAAGATTCAAATTATTTTCACCATTATTATGAAATTACTGTAAACTAAAACACTGCAATGTTTATCCCTGTGATTCTATGAATGATATCCTCCTTTATTGCATTGTGTCAGCTACATTTTTTTTTTTGAAAATGAAACCATTATTGGTTATTTTTGTGAGGCCTACCTGGTTTGATAACATTGCTGGTTGGTATTTGTCAGCTCTAATATTCCATGCTAGAAAAATGTAAACTTTTTTTTAATATAAAAGTTAGTACCTAGTTCTTAGATCTGAATCTACCCCCCTTTTTATAACTCCTGCTGGGTTGTGCAGCCATGTCTGCATACCAGCATACCACACTATCAGGGTCCAGTGACTGCTGAGTATTACTTAACCCATTCAAATCTGACCTGGAAGTTAAAATATCTTTTTACTGTTTTGTAATTCTTACTACACACTGCAGCATCACATGCTGAAAAAACCATTTGTCAAGGTTGCCGCAGTCTTGAAAAGTCTGGATTTTTCAGGTTTGCTGTTGACCTGCCAATTATGTTGTCAACACCCCATTGTTGAACTTTGTGTTTAATTATATGTAGAAAGTTTAGAGATGCAGAAATCAGGCTTTTACTAGCTCTTACAAATCTTAACTGTTTTGATATCTTTGCTGTCATTTTAGCTTTTGGCTGATTCCGAGAAGACTGTCCTTATTGGTTCAAGAACATGCCTCTAACTTTAACTGAGTTTTACTAAATTCTAAAAAATGCATAAAGAAACATGCTGTTGGCTGATGCAATAAAAGATGGAGGTTCTTAGTTTTGATGCATTTAATGAATTGGAGAAAACAATTTTTCAGTAATCGAACAACTAATCACCAATGAAAGTTGATGAAGAGAAAATTGCTTAATCTTCATCTTCGGCTGATTGATGGGTGCAACTCCAAAGTGTCTGTTATCTGATTATTCATTTAAGAGAAACAACCACAACTATCATCATGGGGATAAACTGATAAGTGTGGCAAGGAGAGTATTTATCAGAAGCTAACTGTCTAGGGTCATGCGTTACTTCTTACTGCTTTGCATTGGTTGTTGGTTTATCCGACTAAATTCCGATTAAAAATTAAATTACATGGACGTTTGTGGTTATATTGAGACAAATAATGTTTCATACATTTTAATATTTCATGCTCAATTATCTATTTTCTTTACCAGGGTCTCGGATAAGCTGATCCAGAGGCAGATACCACAGCAAACTCCAAAGACTCCTCAGAATGACAACAATACAGAGTCCAAAGATTATGTGGATGTTCTAAAAGTGCTGCTCGGCCAACAACCCGCCTCAAAAAACAACCAAACAAATCTCCCAGAAAAGAACGAAGTGGATGAAACGGGCGACATAAATGTAAAAAGAAGCAGCAGTGGTCGCAAGCATGTGTTGCTCATGGCTAGCACACGGACAGGATCATCGTTCGTGGGGGAGTTTTTCAATCAACACGGAGAGACCATGTTTTATTTGTTTGAGCCTCTGTGGCACGTTGAGCGCCTGTTGGCCACAGCAGCAGAGGTGAACAATTCGACGGCTTTGCCAGGAATCTACGGGGACATCCTCCAGGCGCTGTTCCTCTGTGATTTCTCTCCCCTTGAAAAGTTCATCTCTCCATCACCGCAGAACCACGTCACCCCTGATCTTTTCCGCAGAGAGTCAAGTTTAGCTCTCTGCGAAGAACCTGTTTGTACTCCCGTGCTCAAAGATGTTTTTGAGAGGTACTGTCCAAATACTACCAAACCAACTTTGAAGCTACAGAATGGGAGAACAAGGGATCTGAAATATTTTGTGTTGTTAATGCCTCTTTTTAAATTGAATTTTATAAAGGTTCTAGTAATTATATAGGCTGCACTGTGGATGGATGGATGGATCAATCTATTTACAGTGCTTTACAAAAGCAATACTTTCCTTGAACTTATTCTTTCAAGATGGTCTTAAACTAACAAACACTTTTTGGTTACATTTAGTAAACTTCTTTTCTATGGCTTAAATGGCCTGTAAAAACTCAGAACCAACTCTCTGAAACACATTTGTCTGATGAAAGTATGTATTGTTTTAGGTATCACTGCAAGATTCGCCAGTGTGGACCACTGAACTTGACTCTCGCATCTGAGTCCTGCCTCTCCAAGCAACACCATGCCATCAAGGCTGTCCGTGTGCGACAGTTGGACACACTGCAGCCCTTGGTGGAGGACCCCCACCTGAACGTCGCCATTATCCAGCTGGTTCGAGATCCACGGGCCATCTTGGTTTCACGCATGGTGGCCTTTCCCTCAAAATACCAGACATGGAAAGCCTGGGCGCAGGACGGACAGGTGCCTGAAAACGACGAGGAGGTGAAGAGGCTAAAAGGAAACTGTGATCAAGTTATGACATCTGCAGAATTGGGACTTAGCAAGCCCCAATGGCTAAAGGGACGCTACATGTTGGTGCGTTATGAGGATATTGCTCGGTACCCAATGCAGAAGGCCGAGGAGATGTACAAGTTTGCAGGGATACCTTTCAGCTCCCGAGCAAGGGAGTGGATCCTCAGGAACACACAGACTACAGAGGAAGCCAGCGGAATATATTCCACACAGAAGAACTCTTCGGAGCAGGCGGAGAAATGGAGGACTAGCATTCCCTTTACGCTGGTTCAGGTTGTGCAGAAGGTGTGCGGTCCCGCCATGAAGCTGTTTGGGTACAGATTTGTGGATGATGAAAAGACACTGAGTAATAAGTCCATCAGTTTGCTTGAGGATAAACAATTTTCATAATCAAGTGGAGTTTCTACAAAGACTGGTACAGGGAATGAGGTGGGGGTGCATCCTGCAAAGCTTGGCAGTTCATCAGAGGAAGACAGAGACAAACAATATCATTCACAGAAAAACTCATACCTGAAAGGCAATTCTTGAGACCAAACAACTTAGTTTGCATGGCTTTGTCCTCTGAGAGGAAACTAGGGAGAACCTGTACATTCATAAGGAGAACATTCAAGCTACATGTAGAAAGAAGCTGGGCAGGATTGAAAAAATTTTGCACAGCTCCAATAAAAAAAATATATAACAAATACATACATATAAACCAAAACACCAAGCACCATGTTAACCATGTTAACCATGTGCCTAATCTTACCAACAATTTATGCACGCTGTATTCACTCAGATGCCAGTTTCTCAAACTTTGTGGCATGGTATTTTTTTAGTCAAATATCAGATAAGTCAGCATTTTTCAGTGGTTACTGTATGGGATGTGTGGTTTTAGGTTAAGATGATAACATTTTCAGAGATAAACAAAAGTGTGATATTGATATTGGAATAGCCTCTGCAGTACACTGTAAAAAAAAAAAAAAAAAAAAAAAAAAACTAATTTACAGTAAAATACTGGCAACTGTGGCTGGGACATCCTTACATTGCTAGGATGTCACAAATACCAATCTAAGTAGTCAATTGCCAATACAGGGTCCCAATCTGAAGCGTCATTACTTTTAATAAAATCAGCATAAATGACTGTCAACTCCCTTTTCAAAGTGAATGAAAACAATCCATTGAAATGATTGTGTTTAACTTAACTCATGTACCACAAATGTTCTGGATCCTACAGCAACCTGAACAAAGGCTTAAATTGGAAAATTGCTTCAATGTTTTTGAAATAGTTTTATCTAGTAGCTTTTATCTCATGTTTTTAAAAATCTAACATAATTCAATACATTGAAATCTTGCTTCTGATGACAATGTTTTTATGTTGACATCCTTTCTGTAGCGATAAGATTATCTTAACATGATTCCTCTGTTTTTTTTTATTATATGGCTTGAGGATAATAACTTTGTGCAGTTCCAGTGAACTGCGTTTTGTTTGAAATTAAAACATACAAACCGACATCCTTCATAAACATGGCCCATAATGACACAGACGGAGAGCCACTGCAGCCAACTCAGCTTCTCTTTAATCGTTAATATAATTGTAAAACATTTAACAAATTAATTTGCTGGACAGATTAATGTATAATGTACAACAATTTTGCAGGCAATACAAAACAGACAAAAATGTTTAAAAATGAACCCATGCAAACACATCTGCACATTTTGCTGGGGGTGCAACTGACATAAAATTACATCATTATGTCTATCAGAGTTCAGTCTCGGGCTCCTATCCTGATTATTGATATTTAGAATCAGATTGGGACATTCATCATATATTCACAAATATTTACTAATATTATAATTGAAACTAGAGTAGACAGCTAAGGTCTCATTTGATCAGATGGGGCGTGTTTTAGTAGTTTAGAAATCTTACTCAGGTAAAGTGAAACAGCAGTTCCTTGTGTCTATGAGGAGCATTCATACAGTATGCTCCCAGGTGTATGTATATGATAATACTCAGAACTTTAAAAATGTTACTAAGGGTTTTGCAGTAATTTATGAAAATACATGTGAACTTGATCTATAAATGACAAAATATAATAATGTATTATGTTTATAGGAAACACTATGAAACATCACTTACCTCAGATGGCTTTTCAGTAGTTCAGTGTTATTTTCCTCGCACCAGCCAAAGTTTTCCTACCTCCTGGTGAATGAGAGGCTTTAGTTGAAGCCTCTTTTCTAATAACATGTTATTTTTGTCACCATGCTGCCTAAACAAGAGATTAAGCTGTTAAACTACATTATGAGCTCTTTGAGAAATTTTGTCTATCTAAGTTTGGTTTGTATTTGCTGGCAAAATTAAGGTCATCATATTTTTCACGAAAATTTAGAACCAACATTTATTCAATCTTCAGAAATATATGTGGGGGTGTTTTTTTTTTGCAGAATGCTATATGTGTGTGCATGCCTCAGACCATATCTCTCTGTAAAACACAGGTGGTGTTGTATAAAGGTAACTACTGTGGCTATGATTCAATGACATCTTTGTGTTCAGCTTGGCTGAGACCCCAGAATGCTGCCACGCTGCTTAAGGAAAGGCGTTTGCTGTAGAGATTCATATAGAGCAGATTATTTTCACCTAAAAAAAGATCTAAAATCAATACTTTAACATACCAGGTTGCCAAGGATACACAAATACCTGACTTTAAAACTGTCAGTGTTGTTGGGAGTTTCGTTTGGGGTTAATATAATCCATAATATATATTTTTTTTCTGTAACAAGTCTCAGTTTATATCTTCTTTTCTGAAATCCGAAAGTAAGTATTTCAGGTTTCGTATGCGGACTGTTAAAATGGCACTTTTTTTTTTTTTTTACTTAAGAACACACAAATATTTGTTTGATTTAACCAAATTCCAGCTTTTCACATTTTGTCTCAGGTTATGCACAAAGGATTCATTCTAACTCCAACCTAATACCAATCAGCCTCTCATGCAAAACCTGTTTTCCTCTGTTATCATCATATTTAACGAGCCTTACATTTTTTACAAAATTTCTCAACAGTTTAATTCTCATTTTCTATACCTGGACCTATTTTTTTGCTGAATGTTTGCTTTAAGTTGTTAGATTTTTTTTTTGTATATTTATTTTCGTGATCACTAGAAGTGACGAGGATGGAGTATCATTTTCTAGGGTTGGTTTTCATTGCATTGGACTACTGCCTATCCTTTTTTGCTGCCATATTTATTGTTTACAGATGAACCTAGATGCATAGTAATAGATTACACCTAATTTATTAGAGCTGTATCACACAAGTGCAAATATTATTCTGCTGAAGTGATGATTAAATTCCTTTTCAATGTGAGCGGTTTGTACCAATGAAGAAATGTTTTCCTATTTGAGAAATATTCTGTCACACATGATGAGCTACTGTTCAGAAAATGCTACATTTATTTGTTATATATGATGCCTATTCATAAGACTGTTCATACCCCTTGAACATTTTCACATTTTGCCATCTAACAGCCACAAATTTCAAATTATTTTATTAGGGTTTTGAGTGACAACAAAAATGTGCTGTGAAATCAGATTCCGCCCCCATTAAGGGATGTTTTCTCATAACTTAACCCTATAATTTCCCACAACTTTATCTCTGGCCTGTGTGCTGCTGTGTTGATCTGTTGTATAAAAAAATAATCTGAAGTTTGTTGTCGCAGTATGACAAAATGGTGTGATCCTACTTATATTTACTGCCTATACTTGGAAGTGGCTTAGCCGTGCTATATTTTTATAACTGTTTGCAAATCTATTTGCAGTCCAGACCAGAGAAGAGAAAAATATCCACATATTATTGCACAATGTAGCATTTCACAACAGAACTTCTTCTGACTTTGTGTCATATAAAAGTCTTTAAATGCACAGTGGATGAGGCCTGCATTGATCAAATGAGGATGAATGTAGAATTGTTTAAATGTTGCCCGCGATCCCCATTTGGCAGTGTGTGAATTACGCTGAGACAGGGAACCCATTCAGCTCCACATTCCTCGTCGTTAACGTCCCAGCTGCTGCAAAGCACTTTGGAGTTACGACAGCTGCTGGTCAAGGAGATCATTCTGCTTAAGATGTTTCTGTATCAGCATAAGTAGTGTTTTTTTTTTTTTTTTTTTTTTTTTTTGGCAGTAGTTTCCTTTTCGGGAATCTAACCAGGGACATCTGCATTGATGACTGTAGCCTCTGTATATGGTGCGCCTGCTCTACCTCTGAGCCATGTGGCGGCCATCGCAACAGTTTTAAAGCTTAAAAATATCTAAAGTTCTTCGAAGATATTTATTGAAACTGCTTGTCGTAGCAAGTTGTTACAGTGATAAGTTTGTTTACCACAAGTGGGAGATGCCATGGTTTGAAAGTGAGTTGAAATGTATGAGGTGAGAGTAAAGATCTAAAGTGAAGTTGTGATTAAAACATGCAGAATCACGAGGGTATGGCAGGATCCCATTTATGCATGTCACAAAAACGGCTACCAGCCCAAAAGCAAATTTCAGCCTTTAATTATGTGTTTTAAATCTTGTTAAGGAAGAAAAATGTCATAACTCCAGCTAAGTATACATCAAGTAAGACATTATATAGGTTTTCCTTTTTTGTGACTAAAAATCGAGTTTAAGAAAGTTGTTTATGGAGAAAGATTGTCAGTATCAAAGAAGATATTCATACATTAATTATTCAACTATTACGGCTATATTACATGTGATAACCACTGTAATGCATTCACAGATTTTAATGTTTAAGTTGCTTTTGGGCCAGTAAAAATAGCTAAATTGAGAAAACAACAAATAACTACAAGCACATCTCTTTTCTTTATAAGTGTTGCTATTTAATAAGGGCTAGAAGCATGACTCTGTAGCTGCCCAGCTAAACGGAAACTGTTGGGATCCTCTTCTGACATTAACACACAAAACAAAAAGTTTGAGATAAAAGTTAAGGGGGATAATGTAAAGAAATTGTTGTCATAGCTGTGCAGAGAATAGCCAACAACAACAACAACAAAACAAAGATATTGTTAAATTTGCGACCAGTTGTCAGTGTGTCTGGGTTTGTTATACTCCGAAGATAAAGGGTTGTTTTCAGTAGGGATTGACAGATCTATCAGCCTAATTTCAGTATCACTCAATATTTAGTTTTTTTTTTCTCTGCCACTGCCTGTGGGCAAATAGGATAAAATCAAAAGTAGTGAACAGTGGCAGATTTGTATTGGATGTGTCCTAAATGTGTCAGACTGGTTTTATCATAAAACCTATCCCCAGATTTCACATTACACAACACTAAGATCTTGATTTTTTTCAAAAGATTTTAAAATGTTATGATAAACTAATTTTCACCAGGGCAACATAAGTCATTTGCTAAGTCGATCAATTTAAGGGAACACTAACATGAGTTTGAGAGTCTTGTTTCATTTCATTTTACTTGATTAAACATTTAAGCAAATCCAAACCATCACGATAATTCTCCAGTAATGTCATGTGAAATTTATTCCTTAAAATTTTCTGACATATTTTTTGGGCACTTTGGAAATAGAAGAAGATTTCAAGGATCTGACGGACAGATGTCACCAAATAACTAGAATTTCTTTGCATTGGGGTATGAGGTGTTACTTTGTGTGATATTTAAGTGAGCGTCTGGTTGTCAGTCGGGTTATATTTAAGTGAAGTCTTATTTTTACTTTTGTGCCAATAATCAGTAAGCGAAATTGAATCAATCACAGTTAATCACAGATATTTTTTCACACAAGACCGGGTAAGTTTATTCAGCATTTTTTGTTCAATATATGATTTTAAAACTGCATTTTCTATTTATTCAGGTTTTCTCTCATCTGATGTTAAGATTAGTTTTATGATCTGAAAAAAAAAGTGGTAGGAATCTTTAAGGAGTAAATATGTTTCATATATATGTAAATTTGTCCACAGTCATCTCAGTATTTACAAAAAAAAAAAAAAAAAAAAAAATTTTTTTTAAAAGTTTTTAAAAACTTTTTTAACA